TATATATATATATATAGATATATATATATATAAAATTAATCCCAAATAGGGTCCCTATCTTACAAACTTTTCAACTACTACCAATAGATCTAACCTCCAATAAGGAAAAAATATGCGGATTAAACTAGCTATTACATGAGCATTAGACGAATGCTTCAATAGGAATATGGTGTATGTAACTTCACAAGACAAGTGCAAACACCCCACAGTAGCACCTATAAATCTCTCACCAGGCTCCAAGTTTTGCATTCCAAAGGACAAGAAAAATGTGAAACTCCAACGTCTACACCACTCCTTAGAAGCCGTCTAAAAGACTCTGCCCATATATGTGTAGTATGTAGCCTTTGCTAATGAGATCACGTGATCTCGAACTAACCTCACTTCAATTTGACAATGTGCAGTCACGAACCTCACCTCCAGCATGTTATAAATTTTCCAATACTTGTACCAATACGTAGTAATCCAGTTATCTTGAATGCCACTTGCATGACTGCATGTGTGAAGACGTACACGTACCAGTATGTGACTTTGTGTACTCACATATGCAATAGAAGAAGGTCTCCTACCTGCTGTAATTGCTTCGTACATTGAAGAGCCACCATCAGATTAAGCATGTAACCATGCTAATACCACTAGCAAGCAACTCCACAACATACAAAGTCTAGTTAAGATAGCCAAGGCAGGCAATGTTAAAGTATCAACTAGCATCAACCCGTTTCTTTTCTTTTTGCTATCCTAACCCTAAGGTTAGGTAAGTGAGCCTTGTCAATGTTAAGTAGTCTACTTCCTGCACTTGGCAGTTTAGAGAAAGAGTGAAACTCAATTGTACCTGCAAAAGAAAACACAAGGTTAGTTAAAAGATCTGCCACTATGTTGCCTTCTTAGAGAACATGCTGGAATAGCACGTTGAAGTGCTCCTTCTATTACACCTCATGTTTTCGTACTTGAAAGTACACTATAAATAAATTGATGAAAGCTCGAAAATGAGATGTACATCCCGCATTTTCGTACATTAAAGTTTCGTCGTAAGTTAATCGATGTAAGTTCGGAAATGAGATTATTTTGAGATTATAAGTATTATGCTTTTTGAAATAAGTGATAAATAAATTCGTGAAGGTGAAAGGGCGAGTGAATCGAAGGAAATGAGTTTCGTCGAAGTTTGACATTTTGGGATAAAATACGGTCTAAGCTATAATGCCCGATATTTATGGACTTGTACCATACAAGGTACCACATGACCATGATAGTAAAGCATATAATGTGTATTAAAAGTGAGTAGTATTGTAAGTAATTTGAGATAATTCTTAATTATGTGAATAATTGGGTAATTATTAATTTTACGTGGGAGATTAACTAATTAATTAAAATCTTTGGATAAAATTTAATGCACCCCAACGTGGCAGCAAGTGCCATTTTTGATCAACCAAACAATGACTCTTTGAATTAAGAGATTAGGTGGCATATTTAGAAGAAATTGTTGGCCAAGTCATCTTACAAAGTGGGGCCCACAACCCACAAGTTATAAAAAATATTCCTAAGTTATTAAGTGAGATGCTTGTATTTGCTAAGTGATGGATGATGCTACAAAAGGTAATAGCAACGAGAATTGCGATTCTAAGAGAGCACAGTATAATCTTTCTCAAGAATATCACATGGATTATTTCTTACTTTGATCTGACGTTATATGTTTTGTCGCGTTTGACATGTGTTGGAAGGATTTTCAAGAGAATCGGTTCAGGTATGTTAAGGTTATCCCTTCTTTCCTTTTGGCATTATCCATACGATACATACGGAACGAGCAAATGCATAACTTTCATAAATGACTCTATTCATAGAAGTACTAGGAGTGCATATGTTCTTGATTCCCCATGTGTCATATTATTCTATCATCTATTCATGGGTCTCAGAAAATGCGTAAGTTGATAAAGTTTATTTCATAATATTAATCAAATGCATATTGATCTCATGACATTCTGAGAAATCTTGTTAACGTACTTTTTATGCATTTCATTCATGTATACATGTACATTTGACCCATGAATAGATGGCGTTATATATGCGTATATTATATGTATATGGGACATGGGAAAAGGTTACATCGTTATATACGTACCACCACCTGATCAGCTGGTATACGTTGATGATTTTGCCCACAGTGGTTGAGATGATATGATGGGATGCCCTCAGAGGCTAGATGATGTTATGTACCCAAATACTTATGTATCATATGACATTTATACGCATATGCATGACATTATAAATATTAAATGATTCACAGAGCTATTCATACTTACATGTTGAGTCTTTTACTCCATGTTTCTCTTATGTGTATTATTTACTGATTTGCATTCATTATATACTCGGTACATTATTTGTATTGATGTCCATTTTGCTTGGGGACATTGCGTTTCATGCCCTCAGGTCTCGATAGACAGGTTGAGAGTCCTCCAAGTAGGCTATCAACTCAGCGGAAGGTGTTGGTGCACTCCATTTGCTCTGGAGTTGCTTATTTGATTAGTATGCTTTGGACATGTATTGATTGATATGTCAGGGTCCTGTCCCGACCTTGTGACAGTTATGTATTCTTAGAGGCTTATAGACATATGTCATGTCTATGAAAGATTGTATGGCCTTGTCGGCCTATGTTTAGTATACAGGTGATCATTTTGGCCTTATAGGCCCGTACGTTATATGTATAAGTCAGTATATCATGTTGGATCATCTTATGTCAAACATTCCCTCATGGTTTATTCTAGTTATCTTATGACCGCCTTTCTGGGTTATTTACCTATGATAGAGTGATACGAAAGATATGTTACGTTGGTACTCAGTTGAGTAAGGCACCAGGTGCCAATCACGGCCCATTGGTTTGGGTCTGACAAAAGTGATATCAGAGAATTTAGGAATGTCACTCTTTCTTCTTACTCTAGATCGTGTGGTAGAGCTCAGTCGTAGAAATTCAAATTCCTAAATTCAATTTTATTTGTAATAAGATGATACCTACATCCAAAAGACAGTTGGTAAGAGATTGAATATGGCTGTGGAAGAGTTAACCCAGAGGAACTCGATTTTGCATCATGTTTGTGATGAATAAATATGAGGTCTTCAGCAAATCATGTGTGTACTAAGACGTGTAAGCTTCTTGATAAGGAGCCTTAAGGAAATAATATCTATCCACCAATATGGTGAGAAGCAATGAGAGATTCAGAAGCTAGATACAAGTTTCAACAAGCAAAAGAAGCAAGGTGAAAAAGGGTATGAGGTACCCAGTTAATGAAGATTATCAGTATTTACAAATTAGGCAGAGAAATATAAGCATTTTGAGTTACCTTCAACAGTTAACAGAGGTATGTACAAATGGCCAGACCTATCGATGTTATGCTATATGGGAGCTAACATATATGGTTTAAGAGAAGGACGGGATATTAAAATCCGGTTGGGGTTAGAGTAACCCAAAATGATGAATGGATTGCTTGAGACACCCAGCTGGTGCACTCTAGAATAGTAAAGCTAGATAAGAATACTAGAATGTTCAAAAAAAAAAACTATGAAGATAGGTACTGGAAGCCTAGAAAGGAGAAATAATTACCTTAATATGGCTCCATCGGCCCTAGTAGAGGGAGAATGTTAGGCAACCCGAAGAGCCAGTGGATGGAGCAAGGGGAGCTAAAAGCAAAAGAATGTCTTGTCGAAGTTTTCAGAATAAAGTGATAGACAGAAATGTTAGCTGGAAATAAGAAAAGAGTTAATGAAGCATTATGAGTAAGATGTGATACATGGATGACAACGGTAGATCATAAAAATGATAGCATTACAGAGTCTATAGTCAAAGGAAGGAAAAAAATGAGGTGACAGACCTTGAGACAACAAAAGAGTATAGGCCATAAAGTCATATCCTTATTTTAGAAATAAGTTCGTGACTCTAACATGATCACCAGAAGGAAAAGTTAGACCTCTGAGTAATAAAAATCAGTATGGGCTAGTGTATAAGGTAAACTTAACATTAAGTAGGGATCGAGTGATTTGATAATAGTCGGCATTGTGAGAATTTCAGAGATTACGTTCCGGCAATAATAGAATGGACGACAGAAGAATAACCTTTAAAGGTCATTCAGGAAGACGCTTCCCTAAAGTAAGCAATGTGAGCAAAGCTAAGCGTAAGGGACTATGTGTGCCAGTTATACTAGGTGTCACCCTCGTGAGTAAGGAATTTTGTTATCCTTTGTACAGAAGGATTTCCGCAAGGCGAGTAAGGGTCACCGATGATGTGAAAAGATGCCAAAGATAAAGAGGTAAAACATCTATACGTAGATCATTATAGCACTAAATCTTAGTACTCCCCTACAGGGGGGAATATGGAGTGATGTGACATTAAGCCAGAATTAAGTGGTTCTAGTAACTATGGAATAGTAAAGAAAAATTGCGATAAAAAATTAAGAAAGGAATGAGATTGCACTTATCCAAATCCTACAGATATGCTACAATTCCAGAACATTATGCAAACACGACGTCAAGGAGAGGAAGTAAGGGTTCCTGCCCGAGATGTTATTGATAAATAAGGAGCCAGAGCAAGACGTAAGTTAAGACAAAGGAAATAACCCAAGAAAAATTCTGTGGATTATTGATATGAGAATGGGCCAATGAGTAGTTAGTAGTTGATTCAGGAAAAGCCTAGTTATGGCTAGACAAGAGGATGCAGACAAATAAATAGATCGTGCAAGATAAACATAGTGAACCCCAACATGGGGAATTTAGTCTCACCATAATCATGACCTTTGAAAAATATTCAAATAGGAGTTGGGGTAGTTAAAGGTACCGTATGAATGTTAAATAAATAAAAGAGAGTGCCACTGGGAAGACAGTCCAAATATCAGTACAGAAATAACCCTACAAGCACAAGGTCGTAGATGCAAGTAACTATGGATAATTATAGGCGAGGAAGGACATCAAAAATTTCGTCGAGTATACGATGTAATAAGCTCACAGCTTTACAAGAGTCAGAGGGTCCTCCCTAAGTACTACAATGAAAGACTAGCTGAGGAAATAAGGAGGAAGGCTTCAACCTAAACATAGTAACTTGAAGGAGAAATGGTCATGCAAAAATAGTCTCACTACAAAATTGTATGCACTCCAAAAGAAAGTGACACCTACCGTGGCTAATGAACGGGAGTAAAATCGAAAGTAATATTTGAGACCATATGAGTTGCACAAAAATTTCAGCATGCATGGGAACTAAATAAACTAAGTATGCATGTAACAAAAGGGTAGAAAGATCAGGAAAAGTAATTGCCTATGTTTAAAGACAACTGAGATGGAATGAAAGGAATTATTCGGTCAATGATCAAGAGTTAGTTACATTATGAACGCGCTTAAGACTTCAGAGTATTATCCATACAGCATATATTTTGACAATTATACAACCGTAGAAGACTCTGATATAAGTTAAAAAAAGAGAATGGAGTCCAGGTCATAGACAAAGGATTGAACTGTTAGAAGATTGTATCATGGATATTTATAACGTCCATGAAAGGCTAAGGTAATAACTAATACCATGAGCCGCAGATCGGAAGATAACTTAAGTCTACATAAAGGTTTATCAGAGGGAAGAAAAAACTAAAGAGTTATATGAACTAAGTAAACCAGGAGTCTGATTATTGGACCCAGAACATCATAGAAATCGTGATTGAGAACATATCAGATCACTCTTAATATCAGAGGTACAAAAGAGATAGCACAATAGCCATATTCTATAACGTCTCTACGATAAAGCCAGGAAGAAGAGTACCAGCCTCATAAGAAGTGAGTATGAAGCTCCCACCGGATTGTGTATGTCACACCTCCTTTTTACCACCACAAGAGGGGATATAAGGGAGTTTTTCCAATTAAAGTGACATTATTCCAAATGGGATTATTTATTTATTTTTCAGAGTCGCCACTAGAAATAATTTATCCGGTGTCCCAAGTCACCGGTTTATTTTAAAATCTCAAATCGAGGAAATTTTTGACTTTATTTAAAAGTCCGCGAATCAGAAATTCTAAATAAGGAATTCTGTTAACCCGGGAGAAGGTGTTAGGCATTTCCGGGTTCCATGGTTCTAGCACGGTTGCTTAAACTATTAAAGTTGGCCTATTATCCGATTTATTACATATTTTAACCTATTGTGCATTTTAGCTTTATAACCGCTTTTAATTAATTTAAACCACTTTTAGGAAGATTCAATATTATTTAAAACACGTCTTAAACCACGCTACATGAAATGCACGCGCGGTTCGCGATATGTTTGTTTTATTAACATTCGAAGTTGTTATGATCGGGTTACATGAAATGCACCCCCGATAGATATCATAATTATGTTACGGGAACCGTACCCATAGCCATAATAATTTATTATAAACGTGCCTAACACAAATTACGAATGTTCAAAGTGTTTTATACACTAGTTTTTTTTTATTTATGTGATGGCTATGGATTATAGGATTCATTTGTAGATGGCATGCCTCAATTCATTTTAAAAGATTTGTACTCAATTAAGGCAAACTATGGATGTTCATATGATTTACTAGATTAATATTGACAGTTGTGAATGGGCTAAATAGCTAAGTCCAAACATTTTGCTTCAAACACACAAATAGTTCCCAATGACCATAGTCTGTGACTTGCGTCAATTCTTTCGATAACAATCCTAAGCACACAGTACTTGAGGCAAATTCAAACCCCCCTCTACACAAAAAGTTCTCTGTATGGAACACTAAAGGGAATATTTTTCCTTCTCATTCATTACTAACAAATTGACGTAAATAAGAGTATACAAGATTCCAATAGAGAGGAAATCTGATTAAAATACGCAGGAAATGGCAAATATCAACAAATTACTGCCTAAAATTCTTCCTATTAACTAAAAAGTACGTAAATCCCACATAAACATACTAAATTAGTGTATTTCCTACGAGATAGAATTCTTCTAACTGTAGCCTTTTATTTTCACCACTTTTGCCTAGAAGTTTGGAAATTAAAATGCTCCTAAAGATTCGGTAGCAACACGCAACAACGTTTATATCAGGTTCCGCTAGCATCTTGACAATGAGAATCATAATGTTCATAAAAACAGTTAAACAGACCCAGAGTATAAATTTTGAGATTTACTCTATACTTTTGTTAAGTATCCTAGATGAATAATTATTTACAGTGGCCGAGAATTTAGACATGAGAGAAAGTTCAACTACACAGCCAAAACAATTCAGAATAATTCGTTGACTAAGCTTCAAGGCATTCCTAACAATCACTAATATCCAACTTAAATCTTTAAATTTAAACACTTAAACCAAACAAATCAGATGTAGAGGAATCTAGTAGCCAACCATAATGAACACACAAAAATCAAACATAGATTTAGCAAAACAGTTCAAGTCTTCATTCATACAATTAAGGGAAGATTACAAAGTGAGCAATCACATACCTAGCGGCAAGTGAAACAACTTCAAAAATCGAATAACAACCAAAATACTCCGAAGATGGAGCTCAGCAATACAGTGAATCAATAGTAGAGCAGCAGAATTTCAGACCCATGAAATCGACTTCCACATCTCGTACAAACCATAAAAAGAGGAATTGAATTTCGAAATTAATTTTTCTTCAAACTTCTTTTAGAAATCTCAGTTCTTCTTTGTTTTCAAGCTTTGTGATTTTCAGATCTTTCTTTGAATTTTCTTTTTTAGCTTTGCTTCAGTCATTTATGTGTGTGTATTTGAGCGACGAGAGTGTGGAGGTAAGGTTCCATTTTTTGGTTTGGAAATGAAAGGTCTATTTGGTGATGATGAAGAACGAAGGGGGGGGTCTATTTTTTTTGATTTTTCTGATAAGGTCTCCATTCGAGAAGAAGAGCAGCGCCGTTTTAGGGGTAATGGTTTTAGGGTAAAGTGTAGCCCTAGATTTTAGGAAAGTGGGGTTTTAAAGTGCCAATCCGGGTCACGGGCTGGCGGGTAGGTTTGGTTTTTGGGCTAGGTAGGAAAAATTGGGCCTAATTTGGGTACAAGGACTAGCCCAATATCCAATGAAATCTTTTCTTCAATTTCTTTTCTTATCTTTTTTCTTTTTCTTTTTCTTTAATTAAAAATACTAAAATTAAAATCCTAGATTATCTAAAAATGTGAAATTAAACTAATTAACTAATTACAGAAATTATAAAAGCTACTTAATCCTAAATTAAAAGAGAAAAATCAATAACCTAATAATAAAAGGAAAAGTGTAAAAATGAAGCATTTTTGTGATTTTCATTTTATAAAACAAATAATTACTAATTAATCCTAAAAACGTAAAAACAAATCGTAAATGTAATGCATGGTATTTTTCATGTTTTAAATAAAACTTAAACATGCACAAAAATGCAAACAATTAAAAAAAATTCTACAAAAATTCCTAAAATGGCAAATAATTAACAGAAAATCTATTTTCTTGGGATTTTATAGGAGTATTTCGTATAGGGCAAAAATTACATGCTCACAGCTGCCCCTCTTTGCTCGGAAACACGAAGAGTTTTTGGGCAAAGATAAAATGAGCAATTATGAGGAATTTTTACCGGTTCGAAACTCCATGAGAAGCATCTTTTGAAAGAGTCTGACCGAATCTTGCTTCAAAAGTTATCTACATATCCTTGGCTATAAAGGAATTAGGTCGGTGTAGTTCTGGAAGTTTTGGTAGCTGGGACTACCGAGAAGCTGTGATTTCACTGCTGTTGCTGCTTGTTTCTACTTGCTGGGTTTCTTATTACACCAAAATGAAAAATGAAAAATGAAAAACTAAACTAGCTAAGACTTTCAGCTACGAGTTACAAGATTCCTATCTATAAATCTTCTGAAGCTTGATCTTGAGTCTTGGATGGTTCTTCCTGTAGACTCTGATCTGAATCTTGATGCTCGTTAGCTGCAACTGCTGGTTTATTCTTCTTCAGCTTTTCGGATCAAGGCGGGACATGCGAAGCTTGTGACTTCAATCAAATTTTGAGTAGTCCGCATCTTTTCTCACCTTTTGCACCTTGAGTTCAACTTATTTTATTATTTCTTTTTATTTTATTTTATTTGGGTCGAGAATTCTTCTTTTGGTCATCTCAAACCTTGTGCACCAAAGCAAACAAACGAATGAAATTTTTCTGCCCCAGTTTTCACTAGAAAAATTTCGTGAGTTATTGTAACAAAATCTAAACTATTTCTTTATTGAAAGCAATAAAATCAGGATTGTGTATCCTTTGGAAAAAGAGAATAGGGAGTGGAACCCTACATCTATAATGAAATCAACTAGGAATCGGGGCCCTAAGTTGGAAAGATTACCAGGTTATGCTGGAAAAATGACCAGGTTATGCCGGAAAGAAAAAAGGTCCTCGGGTTATGCCGGGGAGGTCCAAGGGTTATGCCGGGAAAGTCATTAGGTTATGTCGGAAAAGAAAAAGATCCTCGGGTTATGCCGGGGAGGTCCACGGGTTATGCCGGGAAAGTCATCGGGTTATGCTGGAAAAGAAAAAGGTCCTCAGGTTATGCCGGGGAGGTCCACGGGTTATGCCGGGAAAGTCATCGGGTTATGCTGGAAAAGAAAAAGGTCCTCAGGTTATGCCGGGGAGGTCCACAGGTTACGCCAGGAAAGTCATCGGGTTATGCCGGAAAAGAAAAAGGTCCTCGGGTTATGCCTAAAAAGTCATCGAGTTATGCCGAAAAAGAAAAAGGCCCTCGGGTTATGCCGAGAATGTCATCAGGTTATGCTAGAAAAGAAAAAGGTCCTCGGGTTATGCCGGGTAGTTCCACGGGTTATGCCAGGAAAGTCATCGGGATATGGTGGAAAAGAAAATGGTCCTCGGGTTATGCCGATGAGGTGCACAGGTTATGCCGGGAAAGTCATCAGGTTATGCCAGAAAAGAAAAAGGTCCTCGGGTTATGCCGAGGAGGTCCATGGGTTATGCCGGGAAAGTCATCGGGTTATGCCGGGGAGGTCTAGGGGTTATGCAGGGAAAGTCCTGGGGTTATGACGGAAAATAAAAGGTCCTCGGGTTATGCCGGGGATCAACTAGGGAGTGTAACCCTATACTGAAAAGGACTACCAGGTTATGCTGCCAGTGACTAGGGAATGTGACCCTATGTGGGAAAACATTACCAGGTTATGCTGGCAAGGACTAAGGAATAAGACCTTATATTGGAAAAGACTACCAGGTTATGCTGGCAGCGACTAGGGAATAAGATCCTATGTTGGAATAACGTAGCTAGAGATTGGAGACCCTAGGCTACCATGATTTTGAATTTTTTTTTCTTCTTCTTCTTCTTCTTCTTCTTCTTCTTCTTCTTATTCTTCTTCTTCTTCTTTTAAAATGAGTAAAAATGTAGGAAAGAATTCGGAGGAGGATTCCCTTTTGGACTGATTATTGCTGCAAAACTATTTCTAGCCCTTGCGCAGTTTCTCTTTGGTTGCACCTGCTTCTTGCTTTGCTTTGGATTGTACCTGTTTCATGTTTTCAAACAAAGAACAATTGTTAGTTTGAAGCGGTGATTGGTTTTGTGGCCTTGACTGTTCCAATCACTTGATCTCAGCTCGACTTCCTTGATGAAGATCTCAACTGCAACTGCTTGTTCCCTGAGAACTGATTTTATTTCAGGCCCTGGAGAACCTCTGGTTTTTCCAAACTTTGCCACGACGGTTGGTCGGTGGAACTTCAACCTTATCGACTTTATTTTGCCTTCGTAGGCCTTTCCCTTTTCTTTTCTTTTTTATTTTTCATTTTCATCATTTTTTTCTCTTTTTTTTCTTTTTCTTTTCTTTTCTTCGGAGCATTGGGGAACTTTTTGCTCCTCAAACTTTGCTGCAACGGCTAGTCGCGTGGGACTTAACCTTTTCCAACTTTATTTTGCCCTTATAGGCCTTTCATTTCTGGCTTCTTTGTTCCAACTTCAATTACAGAGCATTTGGGTTACCTTGGCTTTTCAAACCTTTGCCAAGACGGTCAGCTACGTGGGACTCAACTTTTTTTTTTAATTTCATTTTGTTTTTGTGGGCATTTAACTTTGATTTCCCTTTTCAAGAGTTTTTCAATTTCAAAACATCAGTCACCATGGCAGGTCGAGATCGACTTGATTCTCCCAACGAGGTTGAGTGCCTTTTGCATATTAGCTTGTATCAAATGAGAATCCTATAAATCAGTCTTACCATCCTTTCCTTGTCTTAGTTTCGGAACAGAGTTAGACCGAAAGAGATTCAAAGAAAACAAACTATGGAATGGAGAATGAGTTTAAAACAAGAAGTGTCCCTTTCGGGGAAAGGATAGAAGGACTTATTTGGAGTACATGCGGACTTCAATGAACATGACATGCCTTTTGGACTGGATGTTTGATCTCTGTAAACCGTCCTACTCTCAGAAATTCATCACAACTTTTGCCTCAAAATTGAGAAACCTTGACAGGACTCTGTCGGTGCCGATGGCTGTGAAGATCCTCTTTTCGATCAGGGGTGCCCTTTGCGGCTTTTCACGAGCTGACCTTTGTCATTTCTTTTTTCACCATCGCCTTATAGTGCTCTTTGTGAGTTTTCACTAACAAGACCCTCTCATTTTTAATTTCTCTGCTTACTGTCGCCTTATGGTGCCCGTGTGGGTTTTCACCAATAAGACTCTCTCATTTTATTTCCCTCATTTTGGTTGTGTTGAATCCAAATATTTGTGTTATCTGATTCTTGAACATTCTCACTGATTGATCGGAATGACTTGAACAATATTTTGGGTAAAAAGAATTTGGATTGAATTACAACTTTGGAACCTTTCAGGCGAACCATCGCCGAACCATTATAACTTCTGCCCCAGTTTCACTTTTTGGGGAAATGTTGATTTTTATTTGGTGTGACTGAACCCCAGAGAGAGGATTCCTACGTATCCTTTCGGAATAAAGTCGAACGTAGTTCATGGAACTTTATTTTTTTGATTTTCTTTTGTTTTTTTGTTTTGTTTTTGTTTTATCTTTCTTTTTCCTCATTTTTTCTCTTTTTTCATTTCATTTTCTTTTTGCCTTTTCTTTCCCTTTTTTGTATCTTTTTTTTTTTCAATTTTCATTTCATTTTTGTTTTTCAATTTTGTTTTGTTTGTAACACTTTCTGGTTCCAAAGAGGGTAATCAAAGAAGAGTAACCGGCTCAAATGGTTTACAAAAAGGTTAATGGTATTTGGGTAGGGAGAATGAAAGCCTTCGTCATCCCAATCGGAGAATATTAATATTATATGGAGGATCAATCATTGTACCTTTTGGCTGCATTTGCATTGACAGTTGTTTCAGGACATTTCCTTCGATATTTTCCAGGTACAACGCTCTCTTTGGCAGTACCCTTATTTGTATGGGTCTTTCCAATCTGGAGCGAATTTTCTTTTAGTTGTTCTAACTCTTTGTTTTATTTCCTTAAACTTATGTTCATTGAAATCTAATTCTTGATTCATTATTTCGAAGTCTGACAGCGTTTTAGGATCTGAACATGAAGTCTGCAAGCATGTCATGTTGTTGAAATTTGCATTTAACAGAACTAAAGAGAGAATAAGAAAGAATAATGACAATATTAATAAAAGAGATATTCCTAGACAATGAAATATTAATTTCATTTGATTTTTGATTTTTTGATTTTTTTTCTTTTTCTTTCAATTTTTTGAAGATAGAAGGGTTTACACCAGAAAGTAAGACAATAAGGTAAAACATCTGGATCACACCCTGAGATAATCCGGACGTAGAAAGGATAACAAGACTGGCTACTAAGACTCCCGTCTGATGAGGAACTTTCATGCTTGGAGACCATTTTTTGGCTCTTCTTCTGTCTCGACAATGGCTGCAATGGCCTTCAATGCCGGATCAAATTCCTCAGCTTCACAAATCATTTCGACTATTGGCCCAGTGTTGTGGGCAT